AGCGCCAATCTGTTATTATATTATTATTATTACATATGTAGGAATTTATGCTGATGCGTTTCCGTGGTGAAATTATGAACAGGTGAAATAATAAAACAGCTATATCGTGTAAGAACACTTTAAGTGATTTTCAATGCTGTGTGTGATCGCCCAGCAAAAAATCGGTAATCGCTTTTAGTGGTAACATGTTCTAGAACGCATTGCCTTATAATGTCTTCTAAGTTCTTCACTTCTTTTAGGCATTGCCGGTAATGCATAGTAGAATGTTCTACAATATTTTATTAATTTTGCTGCTTTGATTCATTATGGGAAATGCAAAGTAGAATGTTTCACCGTAGTCAGCTGAAAAATAGAATGAATACCTAAAAATTATTTTCTACCGTTACTTCAAGATGAATTTATATAAGGTGGTGTTGTTTCATCAGCTGTGAGTAGCGTTTGATTGTCAAAATTTTGTATTTCGCTAGTGAGTGAGTGAAAACGTGAGAGTGTTTGTATTTCCTGTCGCCCTTTTTCCTTCGGGGAAGAATAGCTGAAATTTGTCAATGGCCCGCTAAAATCAAAAACAAAATACAAGTAAGTAATTGTTGTATTTGTTGAATCGATACCACCTTATATATATTCGCCTTGCGTTACTTTCTGTGGAAAATCCCATCGCATAAAAATCATGTTTTGCTTTGTTTAATTTACTGCGAAGTTGAAGTCAGTAAATGAAGTGGAGTACAATTTTAAATTCAATTTAATATGTATGTATGTACATACCGATTTTTAAGTAAGATCTAAAAAACTAATACATATGTATGTATAAAAACTGATTTATAAAAATCCTAATCTTCTAATACAATCTGTATTTTCTGTTTTAATATACAAAAGTATGTGCTTATGTAGGCATTCTACATTAGTTTCTCTGTTAGGCATTCTTTGTTCTCTTCTCGGATGCTGTTTATCCATGCGTTCTCCCTTTGTTCGAAGGTAATGTTGCGGGTAAGGGTTTACGGCCAATGACATGCCCATAATAAAATAATGCCTTCTTGAAGCGAAAGGGTAAGCGATTCCCATCGCCTAAATCATTCGATTCCATTTTAACTTCTGCGGTAATCGTGGTTTTTGCTGGGCGGTATGTAAGCCGGTAACACTATTTAATGGTTTTACCTGCCCACATAAAGGAGATATATTGCGAAAACGTAAGCTTATATAGAACCGAACTTGACGATTTTCCCAGTAGAGTTTGTGTGATTATTTAGAAAATAGCTCACAAAATTTCTCGCTTTTAGCTGTCCAAATTAGGGATTAATTGATGATTAAATTAATCGATTGTTTTTGTTTAATTTACGATCTAATTGTATCATAGTTTTGTGTTTAATTAATCGATTAATTGTAAAATCTTTTTTGCTTGCTTCATTTCAAGGATCCGTTAGCATTGGCCTCAGAAATGAAGTTCTTGCAAAATGAAATAATTTGCGCAGATGATCTTATGGAAACGGGTTGGGAGTCACTAAAATCAGTAGAAAATGTGTTCGTTCTTTGGGCCCCTAAAAAATCTCTTGTACACAAACAAATGCGAAAAGATGATGATTTGGGTCACCCACAAGATGAAATGAGTTTTTATTTAAATTGTCAAGTCCTAGAACTAAAGCGGAATATCATCGGCGCTTGGGAGGCAATGAAAACTGTTCACCTAAAACTTTACGGACTTTTCTGATAAGAAAATTAATGAAAATTTTAGTCGTTTTCTGTTCGGAAAAATTTTCTGCTGACTGTAAGTAATTGTTTTTTCTAGAGCTGTAAAAGTAACGAAATTTCGGATACCCGTATGTATTCGTTACTAATCCAATCAACCCGCATCTTTCGTATCGTTACTTTACTCGTTACTTTTGATACAAGCACTTGTACCTCTCAAGAATCATCGCAACAAATCTTGCAGCGTAAGGAAATGTTCGTTCTTCCATATGCATACATGTACATACATATATACATATGTATACACGCAACATATTTTTGTATCGATTCGAACAATTTGATACAATCAAGCTCTTGTACCTCACAGGAATCATGCAGACATACAGACAACACACTTTAGTATCGATACGAAAAACAATTTCGTTACCGCACAATATGTTGTGTTGTATTAATTGACGTTGATGGTGCATATACGGAACATGCGAGTAACGAGATTATTATGTGAGTAACGATTCGGTACTTCGAGTCAGGGGTTGTATTCGTTACTCAGTAACGAAAATTGTAAATTCATATTGAGAAATCCCAAATTGATAATGAGAAGCGTAAATTCATATTGACAAAGTACAACTTCATAATGAGAAATGTAAATTTATATTGAGAATATATAAGTTGATAATGAGAAATATAAAATCATAATGAGAAAATAAAAATTGATAATGGGAAATATAAATTCATATTGAGAATATATAAATTGATAATGAGGAATGTAAGTTCATAATGAGAATATATAGATTGATAATGAGAAAACGTAAATTCCTAATGAGAAAATGTAAATTGAAAATGAGAACATAAAAAATTATATCAATGAAGAGCTACAAGTACATTACTCTGGAGTCTGCGATCTAATGTCGCGATATTAGGTGAATTAAAGCAAGCATCAAAGGACACTGGCAAAAAAATTTATAATATATACAAGCCGAAATTAAAGTTGGACAACGCATTTACACCCCCGCTGTGTGTGAGCGACCCCGTTTGCCTTTTTATGTGTAACACTTCAGTTGTGGTTATTGCATCAATAAAGTGGACGTTTGGCCCTCTGGAAGCAGGGAGCTGTAGAGTGGCGCGGTGGCCAATTTTTTTTACCGGACACGTGACATTCGGCAAAACAAATTAAAATTTGTTTCATCCTTCCATGCTATTTGTTTACCACTTTCGGCTCGTTTTAATTTGTTATCCTGCGAGTTCATGGTTATTGGTTGCGTATGGACTTTTATGCCCTCGAGATAATTTGCCACTGCTGTGGTGCTCAATTCTACATTAAACTGGTTTTGTACTTTTCTTTTTATGTATTTGTCCAAGGGTAAAACTGCAGTCACCTTCAAGCCAGGATAACATAGTCATCACGTTGTCTTCAGTCAGCTTTTTCGGTCGCTTACACCTCTTGGTTTTGCTTCCGTATCTTCGCTAACGACCCAGCGATAGGCCTGAGTGTACGTATTTTCTCATTATGAATTTACGTTTTCTCATTATCAATTTATATATACTCAATATGAATTTACATTTCTCATTATCAATTTGTATTTTCTCAATATAAATTTATATTTCTCATTATCAATTTGGTATTTTCCGAATATCAATTTACGTTTCTCATTATCAATATGAATTTACATTTCTCATTATCAATTTGTACTTTCTTAATATGAGTTTACATTTCTCATTATCAATTTGTATTTTCTCAATATGAATTTTCATTTCTCATTATCAATTTGTATTTTCTCATTATAAACTTGAAAAGGTGTAGTATTCGTTACTCAGTAACGAATACATACGGTTTGCTACAGCTCTAGTTTTTTCATCGCCGTTCAAATTGGCAGTTATCCCTGACTGCTGAACATTGTGCTCAATGATAAGGTGACCAGGGCCCTTACTCTGTAGTTCGATTCGAAAGAAAATTTGTTGGCTTTCGAGTAATTCGTACTCTGAAAGAACCTTTCGAGTAGCATTCGTTCGATGTTCGAATTCCATTCGTTCCCTTCGAATTTAATTTATCCCCTTTCGATTATCGAATATTTGGTACTCTCTGTTTCGAATGCAAATGTCAAAATAGTGGAATGTTAGAAAATTCTTTTCGGCAACAACTTGGTAAACGGAGATCCACAAAAATGTAAGTTATTATGGTTATAATAAAAAATTAAGTGTTATTTTCATCGAAAAATCATTTTTAGGGCAGAAAGAGTTAAGCAACCAAACACGAAGCCGCGACAGTTCGAAATCATGGTGAATTTTATGAAAGACCACAGTGATTTGGCGAAAGGCCAAATAAAGGGTTTAGCTGCAAAACAATTGTCCAACAATCTTTGGAAATGATTAGAGGCTGAGCTAAATTCAACTGGACCTCCAACTCACAACTTTGTTGAATGGAAAAAGGTAAAAAATGTACTATATTCCCATTAATGTTAGTGTAACGCGCGTTAAACTTTTGTAGATATGGGCAGATTATAAGAGCAACATCAAAGCTAAGCTGCGAAGAAACAAAGAGAGCATGTCGGGCACAGGAGGTGGGCCATCGAAATTCTGCTCACTCACTGCAACGGAGGAACAAGTGGTTGCATTATTGAGCATTGACGAGGCAATAAATGGCGAGGCTCAGACAGTACGCTTCGGTGCCAACCCACCATCTTGTAACTTATTTGATTCTGCAAGCTCGGGGCCAAATAACGATGTTCACTCGGATGCAGAAAATCATAATCCAAATGCTCTTTCTCCTGACACATCACTCAATGTTCTTCCTACCATCTCCCCACCCAATGCGCTTCCTACCAACACACCACCGATAAGTGCACGCTCAGTACCTCCAGGCAGAGATAATTTATTAACATACCAAGTGGAAAATCAATGTAAATATCATGAAAATTCTGTGAAAAAATTAGAAGAAATTATTGAGAGTTTAAGTAGTTTAAGCAATTATTTTAGAAGAAATGTTGAACTAGAAGAAGCCAAACTTCAACTAGAGCGAGAGAAGTTTGAGTTTAAAAAAAATGAAAAAAAGAAAAGCAAACTAATATTAAAACAATTAAAATTAAAAGCAAGAATATGTGAATATTAGTTTTAAGTATAGGTTTAAGTTTTGAAAAAAAACAATGAATTTCTTAATGTCCTTTTGAGTTCCAATGTAAATATTAGTTTTAGATATAGTTTAAGTGTCCTAAGTGTGGCTTATTAATGAATTTATTTATGTTAATGTATATAGTTCCTTTGAAAGCGAAAAGACTGATGAATTTATTTTAAGTTTTTGATTTATTATTTAAAAACTTTTGGATATACGGTGTATATTCTGATTTTTTAATCACCATTTAAGCTACGAAAAGGCTGTGAATTGTTTTTCATACTAACTATTTTTTTTTTTAAACTACAGAATAAAGTTTTTTTATTATCATGAAACTAAACTATTTCTTATTTCGTCTCTTAGATTTCTAGAAATATTTGCCGCATTAGTTTCCGCTTCCTCAATGTTCTCAGTATCCAATAAATGTTTATCTTCTGAGGGAAATACTTCTGAAGATTGCAAATCAGCCTTAAATTGCAAACAAATATTGTGCAAAACGCAGCAAACGTTCATTATTGCTGAAACCTTTTGGGGAGCATAATGCAGTTCCCGTGCGGCCAAAAGACATCGAAACCTTCCTTTCAGCATTCCAAATACTCGTTCAATGATCGAACGCCCTTTGGCATGGCAATTATTGAACCGGCATTCCGCTGAATTTTCGGCTGCGTTTCGATAAGGAGTTAACATCCATGGTTCCAGCGGATATCCTGAGTCACCTTAAATTATTTAACTCAATTAGTAATAAATAAAAGATACACAAGTATTATTTGCTGCTAACCAAGAATCCGTATCCCTCTCTCGCCATTGTCAAAACGAGATTGTAAAGCCCTTCTTTCGCTGGACAGGTTCCATACATGGGAATCATGGCATCCACCACCGTATCGCGCGTCAACAGCTCTAATTCTCATCTTGTGGTCACACATCTAAGAATTTTAATTTGAAACCTTTTGTTGAAAACTTTTATGATAATGCAATACTTACAACCATTGCATTCATACTGTGCTTCAGTTTTCTGTTATAGTACAAATGCTCATTCCTTGTTGGTCTTGTCATTTGTACATGTGTGCCATCTATTGCAAACAACACGCCCGGAATTCCACAATTTTCATAGAAATATAATTTCGCCTCTGTTTCCTCTGCGTCCGTACTTGCAAAATTAATGTGTCGTTGACATAGCCTTTTCTCAACTGCTTTACACACTTCAATGAGGCAGCGTGACATTGATTGCTGAGAAAGGCCTACGTGTTGGTCTTGACCAATTTGGTGTTGGTATCCTCCTTGCCCCAATGATTTCAGTGCGGCGGCCAGCTTAATAATTGGGGGAATTGCTGTCGATTTTCGAGGAGTGCTTAACTCCGGCGTAATGGCATTTAGCACGTACCGAAACGCTTGCTTGTTTAGGCGTAAATTTTGCGTAAAACTGTAAAGGGATAATTATAAATACATAAAATATAAATAGAAATAAACCAATCCTTTTACCATTTATCATTGAGAGTGAATATGTTGGCCTTATCCCTAAGCGCTCTCAATTGCACTCGTTCCGCCACTTGGTCTTCATCTGCTTCCAGCCATATCGCCACTGAATCCATTTGGTATTTTTTTTATCAAGGACTTTCACTAATATTAAATAAATTTAACACAACAATTGAGTTCTTAAATGCACAATCTTCACAATCGCAATGTTGGCAATTTCATCTTCTTTATTTTGATTTTAGTTTCTTTCTTTATTTTGCTTTGCGTTTGACATTTGGCAAACAGTGTTGCTCTCTTTTTTCGAATATCTCCGAAAGTTGATTCGAACGAACTATGGAGTACGAATGGGGCTTCGATTCGAATTTGGCTTTCGAATAGAACAACCTTTCGAATGGAACTACAGAGTAAGGGCCCAGAACTTTTTAGCATTCCAGGAGGACAAATTCTCCATATTGAAAACAAAAAATTTGTTTTATATTTATTTTAACACATAAATAACGAATAAGATAACATTGTTAAAGGAAGCAAAAACAATTCAAAGTTGCTATAAACACAAGTCAAATAAGTTAATAGTACACTGCGGTGCATAATTATAGCACCGAAACATATTTCCGTAGATTTTTGGCAATTTTTTTTGTTGACAGTGTTGTTAATTTTCTTCCATATAAAAAATTTCGAACATTCTTTGTATGGAAGGAAATGAATGACACCGGAAAAAAATTCCAAAAATCAACGTTATTTCGTAGACATATGAAACTCACTTTATTATACTAAAATTGAATGGTGCNCTCTCTTTTTTCGAATATCTCCGAAAGTTGATTCGAACGAACTATGGAGTACGAATGGGGCTTCGATTCGAATTTGGCTTTCGAATAGAACAACCTTTCGAATGGAACTACAGAGTAAGGGCCCAGAACTTTTTAGCATTCCAGGAGGACAAATTCTTCATATTGAAAACAAAAAATTTGTTTTATATTTATTTTAACACATAAATAACGAATAAGATAACATTGTTAAAGGAAGCAAAAACAATTCAAAGTTGCTATAAACACAAGTCAAATAAGTTAATAGTACACTGCGGTGCATAATTATAGCACCGAAACATATTTCCGTAGATTTTTGGCAATTTTTTTTGTTGACAGTGTTGTTAATTTTCTTCCATATAAAAAATTTCGAACATTCTTTGTATGGAAGGAAATGAATGACACCGGAAAAAAATTCCAAAAACCAACGTTATTTCGTAGACATATGAAACTCACTTTATTATACTAAAATTGAATGGTGTAACAACCATCGTTTTTACATATTAATCTACTTCTGTAACAACCATCGTTTTTACATATTAATCTACTTCATTGTTTTATGTTATACCATAAATGTTATGTTAT